GGCGTTGTAAAAATCACCATCGAATGCATTGGCTAAAAATTAAGGGAAAATACTGTATTACTAAACCTATCCGAAAGTCGAAGGCAAAATGGCTTAACATATCTTTAAGATAAGATGCCCTAGACCAATTGTACCAATGGCCCAGACCCCCCTACGTTTGGACACTTTCCCGGAGCGTTAAATCGCTCAGCGACTGAGCGCCGAACGGGACATGGCGGTGGACGCTAGTCCGCCCGTCGAGCGTGGGCAAAATGAAAACTGTGCACTCACGAATTTTCTGCGCCAGCATCCAAACGGCCGGCTGGGAGCGGGGAGACGGCCTGGTAGATTGCGTCGGGTCGCTGCAGCGTCAGTTCGAGCATCTGTATGTAGTCGATGACGTGTTGCAGCAATTCCAACCGCTTCACCTTCCTTTTGTGCGGGATTGTGGGCACCATTCTTTTGAGTTGCACCAGGTACTTTTTCATCTCGTCCACGCTGTCCTGCTCGCCCGCGCATCGCTTGTGCAAACGTGACGCTGAGGTGGAACGCCGCGATGGGAGACGACGATCAGGCATGGCAGGAGGATAATCCAAGAGAAAGCGACTAGCGTCGATATTTGAGGCTTATATTTACTTAGACCCAGCCAATCAGCTGACTTTATTGTAATGCTTTGATCTGATTGGTCAACTCTGAATTCAGCCAATCAACTCTTAGCATGCTGCAAAGGCTGTTGGCGAGGCTGCTGTCCATTGATGACCTCAAGTAAGGTTAGAGCTGGTGAAACCTTGTTGTCACCTTGCGTGTGTAACTGCATCCCTGCCGTTGGTTGTGGGACCACGCGCGTCGCCTTTGGGAGAGGAGTTCGCCAAGACGGAAAAGTCTAATATTGATCGTTCTCCACATTCTGACTACGGATGCTTTATATTATCGACTCTCAGACAACTAGACCAAACTCATGATCAATAATGTGGATTGGAAAGTGTGTTGGTTGCAGGCATGAAAGGCCTGATCTCAACTCGGCCAACCCTTGAACAGCTCTCAAAAGGCTCGGCAGTCTCGAGGATCTAATGACAATTGCGACAGTTTTTTGCGCCACTCCGCTGGGTTCATATACTCGAAATATCGACCTGATTGGTTTCCTAAGTTGCAGCAACATTGGTTTGTGTGTGAATGTGCCCAAAACGATTTTGGTCATATGGAGACGGCGTGGTGATCGGTAATGACCAAGTCCACGGGGCATATCCTGCTTCAGATATGGTATAAACAAGAGTTTACGATGAGTTGTAACCGTTTGGAGTTTCACACAATCATGTGAATAGACCCCAATCTTGGGGAAAGTTATATCGTTTGCAACAGAAAATGCAAGTTTGCTTCTTCAGCACTCCAACTAGGAAGTGTGCTGTTCAAGGGGCCTGGCTGCACTTCAATTTCATGTCTGTCCTGTGGCGCATTGGCAGTGTGCCGATGTGTTAACATACCGAACGTGTACGTGCTATTGTGGGTGCTGGTGAAACTAGGACAAGGTTTAAAACTTTTGGGAATCAGGGCCATGTTAAATTCGCCAGAAATAGTGAATACCACTGCTATAGAACAGGTGTTACTTTCAAAGAAAACCAGACCGTTCGCAAGTAATGTGTACTTGCCACTGCAAACGAACACACTACTTGTATTCCGGGTGAGTATTTTCTAAAGTTACCAGCAATTCTTTTAACAGAACCTTAGTCTCTTTGGGCCGCTGAGGGTGAGCTAGCGGCAACATTGATGGTGGAGATTTTCCTACAATTAGATGAATTAAGCAATCCCAGATGCCGATAGTTTCGCAAACTACTTACAACAAATATAAGTAGTGACAAACAAATGTTCGTCTAACCGACCATCCCATTATACAATTTGATTTAAAAAAGGCTGGAATGATCTTGCAAGTCACACCCGCTCTGTTTGTAATTGACTTGCATTCGCGACCGTGTAACGGAGTAGCAACATTCCGCCAGGATGGGCAAGACGAGGCTTTTAATCAAGTTGAGGGTGATTGGAATTCAGTGGCATCGTGAGGATTAGCCTCAATCTGTACTAGTCATTATTTGCGAATAATTTCTTCTCATTTAGGGACTGACAGCTAAAATTTTCCCAAAATTTGTTGAGAAGGCCTGATAATTTTATTTGTTGAGCTTACTTCCATTTCGAGTAAAAGTGTTGGGTGAAAAGTTTTCTTGACTCGTTAGCTTGAATTGTGTTGTGACGATGTTACCTTGCTCTGATGATGTCCGTCATATGACGGACCGGAATCGAAGGAAATTACCTCTGAAACAGAGTCAGCATGAATATTCGAGTAAAGCCAATCGACAGCTGGTCAAGAGGAATCCGCTGTCGTCTTCTGGTGGAACCGACCTTCGAATCTCTTACCCAACACTTTCACTCGAAATGGAAGTAACCTCAACAATTATGAAACAAGAGATTTCTCGAAACCCAACTTGTATTCGCATATAATTTTATTTGGCCATCTCTCCCAAAGATTTGTTTAATCTAGGCTGGAAAGACATTTCGATTTCAACTATGTCGCATCAGCACTCCTATCGGGATTAGGTGCCGAGTCTTGTGCATCGTGGCGACGTTTCCACACCATCCAACTAAACAGCCACAGATGCCAGAAGGACCGTAGAGACAAATAAAACCACTTCAAAATCGTATTTGTGATGAGATTTTCGATGAGGCAACGACATATACATCTTGTTAATCACATCAAAAAGAAATAATTTTAACGATTTTGATGGCAAATAAATTTTAAGGAAAGCCATACCTTTCACAAATCACATGAACTTGCCACGGCAAACAAGCACGTTACATGTACTTTGTGTGGACATGTTATAAAGATACCAGCAATTCTTTAACAAGACCTCACACTCTCTGATCTGAGGACCTACAATGGCGATTTTATGACAATAAGAGAAGTTAAGCACTTCAAGAGGATTAAATACGTTTGCTAAAATTGCTGATATTTGTGAAAACTTCTTGTATCGAACATAAGTAAAGTAGTCGAATAAATGGCCATCTTATCGACATTCCCACTATAAAATGTGATTCGGGAGAGGCCTGGCTTGCCTGGATGAGGTTAGAGTAGTTCACTACCGCAGCAATGAGTCTTTGTGAAATTCAATCGCATCTTAAGGCCTACTCATCTTATTGTAGGAAAAACATCAACTATGAATCACTAGATCAACTTAAGAGAAATGGGCTGAATAAGTTTTATTTGAAAGATCAATGCTAGTCTAGAAAAGCAATCACATTAAAAATAAGACGATTATAATGGGATATTGATGAACTTACTTCCATTTCGAGCAAGAGTGTTTGGTGATGTGATTCGAAAGTCGATCCAACCTGAAGTCGACAGCAGATTCCTCTTGACCAGCTGTCCATTGGCTTTACTCAAACATTCTTGTTGAGGCTGTTTCCGAGGCAATCTCCTCTTATTCCGGTGAAAACGTGCCAAGCTTGCGTCCGTCGTATGCCCGGCATCATCAAACATCATCTTTAAAACCATTTTTAGGCTAACGAGTCAAGAAAACTCACCGGCTCATCACTAAAATGCTGTATATATACTCTTTATCTGAGCTCTTCGATGGGATATAAAGTGATTTGATTAGTTCAAGTTATATGTCTACTTCGAAGAATGTGAGTGTGTTTGTCTGTGTCTGTGTATGTGTATGTAGCTGCTTGTGTTCGCATATAACCGCAACCAGCAGTGAGGAGTAAAAGTAAGTAGAACAGAAAACGTGACGTCTGTTCTCGGCCATCAAGGTTTAATGACCGCCATCACTTCATCTCTGTGTATATTGTTGCCATCAGTCCGATTGCGCAAGGTTGGATACACGTCTGGTTGTGTTGCTGAGCCTCATTTGTGTCTTCATGTAAGAAAGAAAGTGTGGGCTAAAGCTAACGACAAGTGACTAGGATTAGAACCAGAACAAAAAAAGACTGGTTGCGTCGCCTCCTTTTTGCAGGCAGCTCAACTATTTCTTGATTCTATTAATTAAGCACAAGTAATTTTATATATGAAGACCAAGATGTTGTGGCCTCTGGTGTGGTCACAGTCTCCTTTCGATTTATAGAAGTTGGTTGAACTCGTTATCGCAACTTGTTCTTGGTCAAGTCCACTTTTAGATGCTGGGAATCATGACAACTACTATGGCAGACGACTTCGGACTAGGTGCGTTCTACATAGTTTCCCTGAAAAAAAGACCAAGTTGCGACAACGAGGTCAACCCACTTCTACAAGTAATTTTAACTTATCTTTTAGCCAGTATTCTTTACATTGAATGTATTTCCTATTCGGTTTATTTCGATGGCTTCTCTAATTTTACGTTTAGCCTCAGACATGCCATAATCCTCAAAACGACAAGTTTAAGGTCATTCAATCTCGTGTCCAGTTTCTGTATTGTGCTCAGCCAACTCCGATTTTTGAGCCCAACAGTCTCTGCATGTGATTTTATGCTCAGCCACTCTTTGTCGAGTGTGACGACAAGTCTCTCCAACATAAAAACGACCACATGAACACATTATGTTGCAGCAACCCGATCTGGATAATGGGTCAACTTTCTCTTTAAGATTGCCTTATTTCCA